TTTCTGCTCTAGACTCTCGAATCATGACTTCCATTTTGCTCATCATCTCTCTGGTTAACTGGGAAATTATTTCTGATTTGAATTTTTCTAGAGCCTGATTGATCTGTTTTGTTACCTCCTGTGCTATGGGTCCAGGGTAGACTCCACTCTTCTTAAAGGGAGCTGTGGCATCTAGAACAGCCATCTCAATTGTTACTTTTGATTTTTCTGCAATATACTTTATTATTTGTTTCACAGGAAAATGCAAGGCTGTTTTAAAAATCTCCCCTATAATTATAACATTTTGTATGACCTGTCAATAGAGGGTGAGAGGAAATTTATCCCCTGGTACTGGATACATAGTTTACTATAAAAGCATCTAAAGCAGTTTGACATATTTATGTTGACCTGATGACAAAGAGTGACCCATATTTTTAACACAGCAAAAGACAGATAAATTACAAAGAGATTAACATGCAGCCCAGTATTCCATGCACGTGTTCAGAATTATTCCTTCCAGAGCTATGGGTTGTCTCTTTTACTCCAAATCTGCTTAGAGGCTATTTTACCCTTGGATTCCAATCACATCTGTCACATATGGAACAGGAATAGGGATGTTATTGTTGACCCTTGCAGTAGGTTTGCAGTTTTCTTTGAGGTGCTACAAGTTGATAAGAGTAAAGAGAGAAATGAGACTTAGAACTGGATCTTGGGGCTGATCAATGCTGCTCTGGGCAGCAAAGTATGCCGAAGGCATCTAGCATTCATTGATTACGAGTGTGGGAAGGCAAGAAGGGTATGTTCTGAAGACATTTAGCAAACATAGTGTGAAGTCTCTAGATGCATCTGGCTGGAAGCATCTGGCAATGGCTGATATGCAGGCAAGTAGAGCTCATATGCAGACAGGGATAGTGATATGCAAACAGTGATGTAAAAAGGGAATGTACAGTTTGTCTTGCTCGGAAAGACCAAAGGGTGCTGAGACTAGGTTGGAACTAACCAGAATATGCTAATACTGGGCAGATATGTCTGCTACAGCTCACTTTTTGCTTCTCTGTGGCATATTTATCTAGTTTAGGTATGTATGAGGAGGAACAACCAGAAGGGAGAGTCCTAGAAGCCAACTAAAGCTGCAGGAGGAGCCAAATATGATCCTTTCTTCAGGAAAATGGAGAAAGTGCTGTGTCAGCACTTAACTCTCTCCTGTCATCCAAGCCCTCTTCAGTGCAGATGGAAAGTTGGCAATGAAATTTTTATGGATTATAAAGTGACCAAAGTATATCCTTGTTACACAGGATAACCAAAAAGCCCAACAGTACTTCCTGAACTGTTCAGGGTACACAGAGCAAGTTTGAATATAGAAGGTTGGGTGCATCAATGAAGCTCTGTATCAGCTGTCCAGTGATTGCTGTTTTCAGATGTTCTCACTACACACAGTTCTGGGAGCCTCTAAACAGCAGAGGCCTGACCTCACTGCTCATTGCTGGATAACAGGCATAGTCCCTGAATGGCCCTGGACACTGAACACTAGGCACAGAGGGCACATACTCTCCACCACAGACACTGCAATCAAGGAGTATGTTGTCACTGTTTAAGGTCAACAGCACTGGGGTCTGTGTGCAGTAACAGATACCTGGATCTCTACACCCAGGCATGTGCCCCTGAAGACAGAGTCCTGGATTTGATTCCCTGTGGTACTTTATGGCATCCTGTGGGATCTTCTTGAGCCTATGCTGTCCTGTCCTGTTCTGACTTCAGGTAATTGCAAAGGAAAGTGGGGACAAAGAAGACAGCACACTGCCAGGAGGAGAGCAATATGGGTGACTATGAATCACATATAATACAGAAGAAGTTCGTTTTAATCTTTAATACACTTAGTTTTGCTTTATCCATCAAGTTGTACAATACCAGAAGAAGGCTGATGTGTGAGAAATTGCAAAGGTGACAGTGGTTCCCTGGGGATGGACACATGATGACTGACTGCAATGCAGGAATATGTGTGACTTCACTTATGCTTATCATCCCTCTTTCAATGCCTGTTACCTTTATAATGTGTAATCACTGCAAACACAAGTGGAAAAATGTAAATAACACGTGTTCAAACTTTTTAAAGAATGATTCAATGCTACACAGGGAAACAAAATCACAGACGCAGGGGTGAGAGTCCTGCTGCAGGAGCCCTGGACTCACTAGAAGGGCATTACAGAATCCAGGCGCTAACAGCACAGGTCTTGCTTGGGTTCTGATGCTCCACCACAGTGTAGGTACAGTTCTGAGGGTAGAAGATGGCATGGCACTTAATTTTGTCATAATCTGCAGGTACTGCAGCTCTGTCATGGTGAAAAGACAAAGACCTGTAGAAAGATGTGACTGAAACTAACTCCATCTTGTAGCCCTGTTGGATGAAATTCTGCTCAACAATCTAGGGGCCCTTTTGTTAGCAGCCCAAGAACAGGGCTTCAGACTCAGATCTGTTTCACTCGGTCACATAGACATTGTGTCGGGACCAGAGCAGGTCTCCCAAATGCTGGGAAAGGGAAGTCTCACCCAGCTTGGCCCTTTGCACCTTTCTCTGCTCAGAAGGTGGAAAGCACAGCTGATGTGAATTTATAGGAAGGCAAACCCATCCCTGAACAGCATGGAGGCCTGTCACCAGAGGAGTGAACTGTACCAACAGGAGTAAGGAGCCACCCAAGCCAGGGTCAATGCCCCAGGGAGATAATAACCAGATTCAGGCCACATTTTTAGGGCCATCTACTTCAACCTGAGTGGTGCACAGTTTAGGGGTCATTGCCTACAAAAGCCCATCTTATGGACCTGGATTTAAACTGCCATTAGAGGACAGGGGCAGCCATCATCAGAGCCCCTCAGGACAATGCTTCCTTCCATAAAGTGACGTTGGATTTGTATTTTTAAAAAGGAGGATGCTCCAGCCCTTTTATGCAGCTGTCTTATGCAGTGGAAATCCTCCATGGTTACTGGCGACCTTCTGATCTATGGCACTCTTAGAAGTTGTGGCTCAATGAGAAAGGGCATATATCTGATCCCAGGGACCAGGGCAATGGACCAGAGGTACAAAAGACACCTTCAAATCATCATCTTGTGAATCAAGTGCAATCACATCCTGGGCTCTATGTAGCATCAACTATGACATGGTTAAATTGCATTGCAAAATATTTTGAAGAGATATGATGTGATCATATGGTAATGATACTGTCAAGTTAAGTGGACAAATTTGACCACACAATGGTAATGTAGTATTTCATACAGAAGGAAAAAAGAGCTTAAGAAAAAAGAAATTTTTAGGCAGTGAAATTATGTTTTTTCTTGTACTTCTCAGTAATTTTATGACAAATATGTTTTTCTGTACAAATATGAGAAAATGTCCTTTCAACTTTAACCTTTAAAAGCTTGTGCACAGGTGGGGTTTGTTATGGTACATGCCAGTGGAAAATACCCCAATAGTTCCTCAAGAGTTAACCCCACAGTTCCATATGGCATAGCAATGCAACTCCAGTACAGAGCCCTAGAGAATGGAAAGCAGAGACAGAAACACACTTGTATGTTCCAGACGTGTTATTCACTGTGGAAAAATGAAAAGATCTGGTGATGTTCCTCATGAATGGATAGCCCATGTGTAGGTGGCAGTGCCCTAGAATGCAGTGGTGGTATGAAGGAACAGAGCCCCAACCTGCAGAAGTGGGGCTGCAGTGTGGGGAGCAGTTCAGAGAAATAAATACACAGAGCAGACCAGCAAATTGGGTTCCACTGACATGAAGGATCTTGATGAGGCACAGTTACTAAGACAGAAGGAATAGACTTGAGGCTTCCGTGGTTGGGTATGATTGAGGAATGAAAATTACAGCTTAAAAGGGTCACTGCTTTGCTGTGGTATTATTAAAACCACTTGGAAAAATCCTGGTACAGAGCTGAAGGTCTGTTATTGTCACTGCCTGGGAAGTTCAGGTAGGAGAATTTCAAGTTTAAGGATACTCACTGCAGATAGAAATAAAAAGAAAAAATACACTACTCTAAAACATTGGAAAGTAATGGTGATGGCTTCCAAGTAGTTTGACTGTATTTAACATCATTCAACTGTACAATTTAAAAATGGTTAAAAGCTCCTATTATTATGGGTAACATGGTTCATTTAAAAATAATTAAAATACTTTGCAAGTTGCTTTTAGTATATGAACATACACAACTCTGCCATTTGTGTGCTGGACCAACTTGCCAGGATAAAGGACTACCAGTGGACAAAAATTTAATTCTACCCACTTGTAGCATGGGAGAGGACAGAGCTGAGACACTCAGCAGGGATACCATTTACATTAGGTTGTCAGATGCCAAGACCTGGGGCTGGTGAAATTGGCCCTGCGCCTCCCTCACTGCACTCTGGGAGCTGGGCCTGGGCAGGGCTGGACCTGGGCACAGTAGAGGCCAGGACACTTCCCTGCTCTGCCCAGGTTGCCCCACCTGGACCTGACACTCTGATGAAGTGGATAGCTGGGCAGTGTCCCTCAGAATTGCCATGGTGCCAAATACTGTTCCACAGAAGCTGAACCACATGGATACTGTGCCACATTCAAAATAGAAATGAAAGATCATGAGAAAACAGATGTGGTGAGAGTTGAGGTAGTTCCAGGAAGTAGGAACTGGTTCTCATATCAGGGAAAAATGATCAACTGTTCCATAGTAGAACAGTGTGACAAATGGGGCAGTAAATATGGTATTAAGAAAAAGTGTACCAGGTACCTGACCATGAACCAATCACTGCCCTAGATTTATGACCACAGACACGGCCCAGAGGAACTGCTCTGTTTTTACTGGGTGAATGGATACCTGCAGAATCTCACTCAGTTCTCATATCCATCTGATGATGACTACCTCACAATGAAGAAAATGAGGCCCAGAGAACTTGAGAACTCTTCCTGGAGCACACAGTGACCATAAATGAAAAAGGAAATTCAGAGTTATGTCACTGGTCCTCAGCATTAAGATTCTTTCCTCATCGTAGTAATGACTAGTACCAGGCCATACTCTACACCCGAGTTTCATTGGAAACACACATGAGTTTCCCATATGCATGCTGAGATGACCCTGAACCAAAGAGTAGAAGAAAGTCTACATACAACAGTGAAACACTCTTTTGGGAGGAAGCAGCGATCCAACAACCCTTATTGTGGCCAGGACATAACCACACCTCAGAGTCACACTATTAGTTTGCTACAGTGACAGTGAAATAGCCAGAGTTTGAAAATCAAGATAGCGTTGCACAAGGCCACTGCATTGCAAGAGAGGTTCTTTCAGATGCCAGCCTCAGATTTGCCATCAGAGTTTTTTCCTCCACTATGCACTAAAAATCAGGCCTCTCAACCATTGTAGGCAAAATGTTTGAGACATTTAAATTCCCATAGGAGTGTTCGCGTTAGGTCACTCTTCTATTCAGTGGAGTAAGATAAGACACTGTGAGATTCTGGGAGAGATTCCAATTTGGAGACAAAGTTGAAAATTGCTACTTTATACTATTAATTCTTGCAGCAAAGGTGCTCTTTTTGGCCACAGGTGTAGGTTCTGGATCTTTCACAAAAAAAAAACAACAACAACAAAAAAACAAAGACAACAACAATAACAACACTACTCCTGTTTTTGGTAGCATTTAAAAGCTAAGGTCTGATACGCATGAGACTGCCGGTATCTGTGCTCTATCTTAACAAAGGCTACATTGTTGGTGTTCATAGAAGCCCAGACCATAACTTCTGCAGAAATTTTGCCTGCCTGGAATTCAGCTTGAGACAAAAGGTACACAAAGCTTACATTACAAGGCACACTATGGGTTATTCCTGACACCTCTCAATTCATCTCTAGCTTTGGTCACAGCACTCTTGGTAAAACTGCAAAGTCAAGCCTATAAAGCCATAAGGGAAATACTATAAAGCCATAATAGGAAAAACTGTCAGATTCTTAGGTACACGTTCCCTGTTCACAGGAATCTGTGTGAATATGGGCATTTCTGAATAAATTTACTAATTGTATTTCAAAAATAGCTAAAGATAAAGAAATTTGAAGTCAAAGCAAGGCGAGAATCACTTCAGGTACCAGATAAACAAAAAGCGATTCAGTCATACTGTTCAGTATTATAGATGTTGAAGAGGAAATACATTCCAACACACTGCAGCATAGATAAATCTTAAGGAGACCATGCTAAATTCAGTTGAGTAACCCTCAAAGGGTTAAATGCTGCATCGTTCTGTTATCTGAGGCTCTTAGAAGAGTGACAGTTTTGGATAGATAAAGGATAATTGTGGTGGCCATGGGCTTGGGAAAGGCAGGGCAGTGACAGTGAAAGGGTGCTGAGTTTTATTTGTGCAAATGAAACTAATCTTGGCATGTGTGATGAATGTTGCATAACAGTATGAAAGTACTTAATGAAGTTGAACTGCAGGAAACATGGAAATTAACTCCACTGTATACACTCACACTTCCACAATGCTGCCTCATGTAAACTCTGGACTGTGGTTTACGAGAGGTATGGATCAAGGCTCATGAAGGGCAGCGAATGAATGTGCCCTGGGCTAGAGGTGTAGGTGGTAGGACTTGGGGCACCTGGAAATTCATTTTGGTGGAAAAGTTGGGCATTTTGGGAATCACAGCTTAATTTTGCTCTAAATATGAAAGTCTACTATGAAATTTTATCTTCAAGAAGAAGCAGAGAATGAGATACTGGATTCCATGACCTGAGACTCACATGCTGCAGCATTCAATTCCATCATCACTGCAAAAACACTCCTCACAGTATTAGGTTGTCCAATTTGAGTACAGTGGGTATATGTCTCCATCAAACTTGCACTCTGAAACAGCACAAAGGATATTATCAGTGGAGTCCCAAGCTGTGTGATATGACAAAAGTTTGTTGGGGGCTGGGGATTTAGCATGTTGAAGCTGCATCTCCCTGGCAAGTGCAAGGTCCTGAGTTCCACTCTCAGTACTAGAAAAAAAGTTTGTCAGGAAACCGAGGCCAGTCCCTGATATGTGACCATAAGATAGCTACACTTGATCTTAGCCAAAAGGCCGAGAAGCGATGACCATAAGATAGCTCATAGTTGTCTCAGGAAGTCCTCTATATTCTTGCATGGATATATTCTAATACTGTGTGTTTTGTGTCAGTAATAACATTTACCTGCACCAAATTTAAATCTTTCAAGATTATGTTTCCATGCAGGCATTTAGTGAATAAGGAGTACCTTCCTCTTTAATGTTATTAGAGGCACAAGTCACTTGTGGTTCCATGTTACCATGCTTGGGCATCTCTGAATAATTATTTCACATCTGTGCTTGTTTTGTCTTGCATCAGAGTCTCTTCATCCTCTGTGTGACTGTGAATATCTTGCATACTAAATAAAAAACTATATTGAAGATCACATGCTCAGAATGCATAAAACGCTAGATTTAATGACAAGCACACATGGAAACAAACAGAAACAATGTAAAGCAAATTAAACACCTGTGCCCACACCCCTCCTCTACCCCAACTGTGAGATCCAGATTTCTGGTTGTGGATACATTAGGCCATGTATTAAGAACACAACATGCAGCGAGGAGGGGGTGAAGGGAGGGCAGGGGTATGGGGAAAAAGTGAGGACCAAGACCTGTCATGTAAAGGTATAGGATCCCAATGACAAATGTAACTGTACTGCATACCTAAAATGTACCAATCAACTCAACAAGAAAAAAAAAAAAGCACTAGAATGCTCCTCAAGTAATCCCAGTATTCAATCAAAGTTTAGACCTGCTGCTGAGACCTCTGAGGACTATGTATGGGACTGCAGGTATCTGTGCTTTCAGTACTCACACTCCAGTGCTAGAAATGCATTCTCACACCTGCCTCCAGCTTCCCTGAGTTAACACCTTCAGGTTAATAATACTCCCTGGGCTTGGTAGGCACTTCAGCATATAAATACTTCTTTGGATGTTGAAAGCCATTCTCAATACTAATTGGATGTGGGAGTCAAGCAAGGAGCTACATACTGTACAGCTCTGTACCCAGAGACTGCTTCACCAGATCTTTGATGGAGCTTTGGAGTTCATGCATATTAAAAGCTCTGCAGGCAGTTCTCAGCCAGAGAGAATTGAGAATGTTTGTTCCATATGCAGGCCAATGTGGAGACCCTCATTTTATTCCATTTCTGTGTCTCACTAACCCTCTGCCCATGTAGATTCAAATACATTTATCTACCAGCAGGTCACATCTACCAGGCTGCAGCAACATAATGCACACTGAAACCAGGACTTACCATTTGTGGAATTGAAATCAGTTTCTTTCCTGGGTGTAAAATAACAACGAGCACTGCATGAAGTCATGAAAGTGGCCAGGACCAGGAGGCTTCCCAGGAGATGTTTCTGTAATGTAAGGACAGTCATGGCAGAGATTGAGTGGACAGGCACCCTCATCCTGGACTGAGAGTCACAGTGAGGGCTCCTTGCAGGGTTTTGGCAAGAGCATCTGAGTGAATCTTCTTCCCTCAGGTGACCCAACCAGGGAACCAAATGTGCCCTCACTGAGAAAATGATTGATGGATTTAAACATATTCACAATACAATTAACACTGGGAAATTAGAGAAGCAAAGAACTACTCAACTGGAGGCTGCTCAATGCATTGGAAAAATGGTAAACCACAAATAGCTCAGGATCCTGCTTCCTGAGAACATGGGGACTCAGAAAAGAACCTAGCAGGATCACAGGTGGCAAGGAGAAATGACACGATCCAAAGATCACTGGATTTCTTTCAATGACTTGAAGCCAGGTACAGATCAGCTTAGGTTCCATGACAATTATGATGGAGACAAAGATGTTTACTTACAGACTAAAGGGCTTGCACCAAATTTGAGGAAGACATTTCAGGATATTATGCTGCAAATATGACAACTTCAAACTCTTTCATATTTTGTACATTTTCTCCAATGAAATGAATTAGGTTTACAAGTACAAAGAAATACATTTATGATTTAAAATATGAATAAAACCAAAGCTCACTACATATAGCAATATCATGACTTGGGATTTGCAGTTGCTTTTTCTGTCTCACCTCCATTCTTGCTGAACCTTAGTATAAACGTCCAATTTTCTTTTCTCCTAATCAACTCTTCAGACAGAAATTTGTACTTTGTATAGAGAAGGAGGCTTGCAGTGCCTGTGGTGATCTGAGCATCTGATGGTCTTTTTTCGGTAAGTCACAGAGCTAGGCTATCAAAGGAGAAGAGCCAGAGCCCAGGGTTTACTCTCTTGGACCTCATCTCCTGTACAGAGCCACAGGAAAGCTGGCCAAACCAGTGCCACTTTAACACTCAGGTGCATTCCCAGGGAGTGTTAAATATGGAGCCAGTAGGTTCTGCCTCAGTATGGCCATGAACTCAGAGTCCAGGTCCCTGGTCATGCTTGTGGTAATGCTTATGTCTGTGCTTCCTCCCTGAGGCATAGCTGCTCCAAAGGCCCATCCCATCCATGGATTCCATCCTCAACCTGGCTTGTCTGTTTTTGATATCTTCCTGCATCCAGAAAGACTGAGACCTGAAGTGTGGTACCCAGGAATGTGGGGTCAAGTGGGACATTCATCAGGGGTTTTACCCTGCCTTTACTGCAGAGCAGTTAATTCAGAGTGTCTGTGTTGTGTCAGGGTTAGTGTTTTTAAAAGAACCCCCTTCCCCAATGACCCTGCCGCATGGTCACATTGTGAGTCCCTGGCCTGGAGAGAGACCCCCAGGTTCTTATCCCATACCTCCCAGGTTTGGGGTTCGAACCAGGTTCCAGACACTTCCTTCTCCCACTTAAGTTTTGTCCTTTTTAAAGTGACATATTACAGAGCTGAAACTACATTTAATTCCATAAATCATTCATGTAGGGCCCAAGATATACAGATATATTAAAAGTGATGAAACATCAGAATGATATTTCTAATGTCCTAGTGTTCATTGTATTGTACACATTAGATTATAGTATAGAAATGATTCAAAACTATATAGCACTAAGAAATAAATTCTAATGAAAAGAAATACATACAGTAGCATATTCAATAAAAATACATATTCATTTTATCTTTGCTAACCTTTAAGTATGGAATTAGTCACTTGCCAATGTTAGGCAAGTGCTTTTCTCAGTGGCCCCCAACCCAGTTGCCTACCATTATGATGAACAGGATTTTGTTCAGGCAGGTGCATCCAAGAACAGTCACCCCAAGTATTTATAAAGGGTAGAATCATCACACATTGGGCATCCTGGAATAGATAATGGTGCAGGAAGCCACCGAGTGTTTACAGAGGACTGTTGGTCAGCAGATAACTATGTTTTTAGATGCCTTATCAGATTTTTATATATTTCCTTAATTCCCTGAAATGTCTTTGACCTTTTCCACAACCATACATTTGCATTTGACCTGAAAGAGCAGAAAAACAAAGAACAGTCCTTCCCTGAGCCCTCATCCTATAGTTGGTAGATTCCTAGGGGATAGGTCATGTGGACATTTGATTGCACTCAGAAAGATCACACTCTTGCATTCAAGTCACAGGCCAGGTTCTGAAGGTGGTTTTGTGAAGCCATAAACATAGCAGAGTAGGTGGCTCTCATGGTCTGGGCAGAGGCTCAGAATATCTAGTGCTAGAGATCAGAAATGCACTAGACATCCTCTTCCTCCGACAGGATCCTGTCCCAGTTATGACTCTCTGCAGGGATGCTGACACTTTTCACTTTCTTCAGTCTTGTATTTGTGCACAAATATATTTTTATCTCCTTCTCTGACATCATAACAAATTCTTCTGCATAAGAAGTGCTGCCCACTCTTGGGTTGTATTTTGTCAATTGTGTTCCTTTGTAAAGTACCCAACCTGACTAGTTTTCCCTCAGGATCCCAATCCATTCTGTTGTATACTGCCCTTACTTTTTGCAACACACTCACACTGAGTCTACGTAGGACAAAGAGTGTCATACAGTACACCTATGTGCCCATTTATGAGCTTTGCATCTTTCCCTGGAATCACTAACAATGAGACACAACATTTATAAAGGATTTAACCATGGGAAACACTGACAGCATAGCATGTTCCTCTGTTGGGGCTCAGCTGTCCAATTGGAAAATATTCAAATTAAATGACATGCAGAAAAAGAAATTTTTCTTTTTTGTAATACAACTTGGCCTTGCTATGAGAGATTCTTAATGGATCCTTTAATTTTCACATCATTAACCAGGTAGATTTCTCCTGAAGAGACAAGTAAAATGGGAGAATTTGCTTATGCGCATAGCCTTAGGGCCCTTTATCAAGACACACTGGACCAAGACATCAGAAAAAACCACAACATCTAAAAAAGGAACACCAGGCCCATTGATTCTTCTGGTTGATGAGTCTGTAGGGAGTTCAGTAGTTGAGACAAACAAGGACGTCCCCAGAATGCAAGATTAGAAGGCAAGACCCAGATTTTGCTGCTTTGGTGCATTTCCTGAGAGGTGGCTCTATAGAAGAGCCCTGTCAGGTATTCAGGTACCACACAAGAGGGCTCTGCCTTCCAATCCATGCTCTTGCTGATCCATGGAGAGCAACTGACAATGGAAAGGCCCTGAAACTTCATCCAAGGACAACCAAGAAGCCACCCAAGCAAAACCCTTTTCATTCTATGGGAGGAAGAGTCCCTCCATGGAAGGATGGGAGCCAGATGCCCAGGTGTCTCTAGGAACCCAGAGAGACATCAGATGGGGGATCTTCTGGTCCTCCATGTGACAGGTGAGGGGCAGGTCTCATGGAAAGCCTTTTTTGGGGTCAATTCTCAAATATTTCCTAAATTTCAATTAGAGCATTAATTTGAAAAATTTTGGGAGTCAGTCTATTTTCTCTCCTCTAGTATTTCTATTTGTACTAAGATCAGTTTGCTGTCTAGGGTTCCTTGGAAATTAATTTCACCCAGTCCTAGACTTAGCTCTTAGATCAGAGAAAAGGAAAATATTAAATAATTTTTTATATCCAAGTGGCTGCATAGCTCATAAATATGAGAAACCTTGGAGGTTGACCCTCTCCACAGGTATTCTTAAGATATTGTAAAAATTAATAAGGATCAAATTCTAATTCTTTGTATTTAAAGTTAGGACATTTTCTTGAAAAAGTCTAAAGGAGTAGGGGAAGTGGGAAGGGTAGGGGAAAGGAAATAAGGGAAAAGAAAAAATATGAGAAAAGGAAAACATGGAAACAAAGTCTTCATAGATAGGGAAATGAGGAGGGGGTGTAGGGAGGGCAGGGGTATGGGGAAAAAATGAGAACCAAGACATGTCACGTAAAGGTACAAGATCCCAATGATGAATGTAGTTGTACTGTATACCTAAAAAGTACCAATAAACTCAATGAAAAAAATAAAGTTAGGATATTTTCTTGAATATTACTTTACTTCTGGAATTGCCATTTCTAGACCACAATGCACAGATAATACCTTCTATCAATATAATTTCTTTTGTTTTTGGCTGTCTCTATTTGGGATTATTATTCCTTGGCAAACAGAATCTTACAATATTAAAATTTATTGAAATATTTATTTGTTTTGATATCTTTTAATGGTCAGTTTATAGCAATGATTCATGGGTTTATTATGCTTACACAACTATTGTTTTATAATGATATGATTATATGGTGCTGATGTAAATATGCAGAGCATATAAAACTGCTAAGAATCTGGTAGTTCTGGTTCAATGGTATCATCAAGATCATTATCTTCACATGTTCTTTTATGAAAAATAACTAGATTGCTTTGTCAAGTGCCAAAATTCATCAACATTGTAAATTATGGCTGTTCCAAGTCTTTCTCATCTACAGTTTTAATTCTTCTCTAGTGAACCTAGAGCCAGATGTTATGAGAAATTCTTTGATGTCTCTAAAACACTGATATGTTTAAAATTTATATATCTTGGTTACAATGTAAAATTGTTTTTCTCTTTTTTATTTTATGTTAAAAGTTTTTAACTGTTGCACCTCAGAATATCCAGGAGTCTTACTCTAACAAATCTGAACTCCTCTAGTGTTTTAAGATGGTAGTTATACCCTGAAAGTGAGAGATGTTTAAACTTAACAATGGACACCAGGTACACTCATTCTAAGAGTCATTTTTAATATCTTAATTTTGTTTTACATACTTATATCATTTTTTACCTTTTAGGATCCAACAGTGTCAGTAAAGGTGATGGTTGAACAGAGGTTTTAAACAGTTCCAACCCAAGAGCAGATGCCACAACCACAATCACCTTTAGATGAAGCAGTAGGAGACTTATAACCACCAAAGATCAGTGGGGAATAAGTACACTGGTCATTTTAAAGGAGCTGTAAAAGAAGCAGCGTTCTACCTGACTGCTTAAGAATAGCAAGGATAGTATTAGTCCTAGTTCATGTTTATGGTGTACAATGTCCACATTCACTGAAGTTAG